GGAGTGGAAAGATCGTTGTCAATGAAGAGGAACAGTCATCCGTTCCCCATATCTATGCTGTGGGTGACGTTATCGAAGGTGGCCTCGAACTCACTCCAGTGGCCATTCAGGCAGGAAGACTTCTCGCCAGGGTAAGTTGGGCGAATCGCATCCATATTTTCACTGATTTAGACACTTGATCTAACTCACAGGATCAGTTTATAAAGTCAGAAAAGTTGTGTAAGATAAAAATTGATATTTTATTATGTTCACGTGCATACTCTCTTGCAGCGTTTATATGCAAATGGCAAGATGCTGACTGACTATGGAAATGTGCCCACTACGGTGTTCACCCCACTGGAGTACGGGTGCTGCGGCCTCTCGGAAGAAGCAGCCATTGCCAAGTATGGTGAAGATGATATCGAGATTTACCATACCAACTATCAGCCCTTGGAGTTCACTGTGGCTCACCGGCCAGAGAATGATTGCTACGCAAAACTGATTTGCGTGAAGAGCCAAGATGTGAGTAGTGTTGGATTTAGTATTAAAAAAAATGAAGTGTTGTTAGTATGGTTAATGTTTTTGTTTATTTTATGCTTTATTTGTTGCATGTCTGCAGCTGTGGCATATCAGCAGATGTGACTGTGATATTAAACTGAGGATTTTTTACCACAGGAGAAAGTTGTTGGGTTCCACGTGTTGGGCCCTAATGCAGGAGAGATCACGCAGGGCTTCAGCATTGGTCTGAAGCTCAATGCAAAGAAATCTGACTTTGATAACCTTATCGGTATCCATCCTACAGATGCAGAGGTAAGTATTGGACTTTGTGGCAAGTTTCAGTTGATTAAGAATTGAAATAAAGATTTAAATACCACTCTTACCAGGCTTATCCAGTGAAATAATTCCTTGAATGTTCAGAGTAAATATCTTTACAATATAAAGAGTAAATGAAGGATCATATTAGTTTGTAGGTAAACATCCAAGCAGTCTATTAAATCTTGATATAAACAAATATTTTCCTTTTGATTTAAAAAAATGCTATTTATTTTTGCAGAACTTCACTACAATGGCTGTGACCAAGAGTTCTGGCAAGGATGTGAGTGCTCAGGGCTGCTGAGGTTAGATAAAGCTGCTCTTTAGCTAACTTGACTGGAGATATGTATTGAAAAACCACAGAGTAGAATTGGCCATCTTTTTTAGTAATCTTTCTTATTAGAGGTAACTTTTGCCGTTGAGTTTAGACGTTATAGTGCCTGCATACCTAAGAGCACTTATAAGTGTGACAGTATTGATTTGCAGTGTACTAAGTTTCAGGTTATTATGATTCTCTATATTTTTAAGTGTTGGGGGTTTAGAAGTGCACTCTGTGATATAATGGTGAGATGATCTCCAGTCATGAACTTTAGAGCAGCAAACTTCAGCTTCAGGAGATGGAAGAATCATCAATTTTTGCAGTAGGCTGAGAGGTGGGGCCTTGGCTCTCCGCAGACAAGGCACGGACTCCTCAGCTTGTTGAGAAATTGAAGCTATTATGAAGGTGGTATCCCAAAACCCAAGTAAGGGAGGGAACTGCTGGAAGCTCTTCTTCATCTCTAAAGCTATTTTGGCCTTATTCCAGTATATGAATTGTTATTTATTATCGTCTACTGTTGTAATCTTTTACTTTGCATTTAGGGAATATATGGTTGTTAGACTTCCAAGTAAATTACTTACCCCGTTTAAAGTAAAGTCGTGCAAGATAATTTTGTATTTCATTGCTACCTTACGTGTCCATATAATAAATACTCGGTGATACCTTGTTTTATATTTTGCCTTTAATGATTTTAATGGATGACAACATTTTATATTGGTTATTAGATTCTGAAGATATTAGCTTATGTTTAGTGAATAAAGATTAAAAAAAGAAACTAAAAATAAAGTAAACAGGATAATTATTATAACATTTGATGCAAATATTATTAGGTGTAAATTATGCAAGGGTGATTATAATGATATTACAGTGCCTATGAATTATTTATTTTGTTTCTAATTGTATACATACTACAAACTCATATCTAATTGACTGCATTATACAAATTACTCTTGACTTCTATGAATAAAAGTGTATTTGAAAAGGTTCCTCAAAGATGTAAGATGTAGATTTTTTTATGTTGAAATATTACATATTCATTGTATTTTTCAATATATATATATACTTATTCAATAAACCATTGATCCACTAAATTTTTTATTTTACTTTAGAATTATCACTGCAAGAACTAGAATAGATTGCAAAACATCCACAAGTGCATAATGACAGAAGAAAATAAAAACTTGAGAGAAAGAATGAAGAAATGCATAATTAGAATTGTGTATTATAGAATTCAAAATAAGTCTTGCAAAAACTGAAAGTGCAGTAAACATGAAACTAAATTTAAAAAATGATCTAAGTCAAGCTATAAATATTTGGACACCAAAATTACTAAAAGCAATTATTGACCTACATTAGCAATGCAAATAATTATTCCTGCAATTATTTTGTAACAGATAAAATCATTAAACATTATAGAAACCCCAAAAACACATGGCCTAAGATGCATTGCACTACAAGATGATGAAATTAATGGTAGCAGTAAGTATACCATCACTGGCTCATTGTAGCTAACAGTATTCAGTAGAGCCAGGAAAGTAATACTGAAGTGACTGAACTAAATAGGTTTGGGAGAAAACTTATAATCCCAAACATACACCATCAAAATCTGTCCTCTGTGGTGAAAAAATCCCTTGCTTGTTGTTGTGGGGTGGGTGGGGAGGGCATAGGAGATAGGTACTGAGGCCCAATGTAGGGGACCACACCTATCTTGGTCCTTAGCCCTCGTCTCAACTACTTTTGCATTATCTTTTCTTCTCCTTTTCTTTTCATTTTTTTTTTCATTCCCTTGTTCTGTCCACTTATCCTAATCAGTAATCATCACCAACTCAGTTTTGACATTTTTGCCATAATACTTTTATCATAATGCTCCCTACTGCCCCATCACCTCCCCTCTCTGCCCTTTTCACTACCATGCTACCCTCTAGTACTGTTCAACCTGTAACTTTACCCTAATAATTAACTCATGCCTAACCCTTGTCACTGTTTTTCTTTACCATAGTGCCATGTGACCTTTGATGTCATATAGCACTTTCTTACCTGCTATCGCTATATTTTGAATACCCCGCTAAGGACATATAGATATTGATGTGGCAATATTTTTTTCAATGAATAAATAAATAGGAGACAAGAGCTGCGTCCTAATGCTGGGGTTGCCCCTACCTTGTTCCTCAGGCCCTGGCTTGCATGGTCTTTTTTCATGGCCTTTCCCCTTTCTTCTCTTCTTTAATGCCTTCTATCCACTTCCTAAGGGTGTAAGAGCTGTGTTGGAATGATAAAGGCTGGTTTAGGGTTAGTCCTGGGTGCAGTGTTTCCTTAATTACCTTTACCAATTATGAAGATTTAGGATCATTAAAGCTTGTCCCTTTATCAACTAGACTCAACCTTCAGAAAATAGTCCTTCCTCACTACCATGCATTCTTTATCCTGCTCACTTGTTTTAAAGCCTAACTGCCTGGAGGAGGAGGAGGAGGAGGAGGAGAGAGAGAGAGAGAGAGAGAGAGAGAGAGAGAGAGAGAGAGAGAGAGAGAGAGAGAGAGAGAGAGAGAGAGAGAGAGAGAGAGAGAGAGAGAGAGAGAGAGAGAGAGAGAGAGAGAGAGAATTTTTTTTTTTTACTTTGACAAGTTTATTAAGACAAAAGCTTACATCTCAAAAGGATGAGGTAAAATACAGAACTTAAGTATATGGACATATTAAAATATATGCAATACTTAAAGTACAAAAATACAAATATTATGAGTCAATGGTTACATATCAGTAAAATGATGCAACACGATAGTTTTCAACTTTCATCAAGATAAGTCCTCTCCCGGGTTCACATAATCACATACGACACACAATATATGATACGCGCGCAGTACATAATTATAATCCGGGATAAAATGTTAACAGTTTGTTGAGTGAGATGTTAGTGTCTCAGGAGAGTTATGCATAATATAGGACGGTCATCCTCAGCCTAAGAGAAACCTGCTGAAGACAGTCTCAACAGGAATAAGGAATAAAATGCCTACTTTCCTGTGCATAGTCGCCAGGTAGGATTATACTACTAAAATGCCTGTACCTCTTCAAAACCTCAAATACCTGACCATTCTTAATCATCCAGGCAGACTCTTCAGGTAAGTCTGTTATCTCTGCATTTTTATATGTCTGAAGCATAGGATATTTATATCTAAACCTTATTCTCATGTACACACTGCCAAAAGAGAGAGAGAGAAAGAAAGAGAGAAAGAAAAAGGAAGAAGAGGAAGAAGAAGGAGGAGGAGGAGGAGAAGGAGAAGGAAGAGGAAGAGGAAGAGGAAGAGGAAGAGGAAGAGGAGGAGGAGGAGGAGAGGGAGAGGGAGAGGGAGAGGGAGAGGGAGAGGGAGAGGGAGAGGGAGAGGGAGAGGGAGAGGGAGAGGGAGAGGGAGAGGGAGAGGGAGAGGGAGAGGGAGAGGGAGAGGGAGAGGGAGAAAGGAAGAAGAAGGAGGAAGAAGAGGGAGAGGGAGAAAGGAAGAAGAAGGAGGAAGGAAGAAGAAGAAGGAGAGGAAGAGGAAGAGGGAGAGGAGGAGGAGGAGAGAGAGAGAGAGAGAGAGAGAGAGAGAGAGAGAGAGAGAGAGAGAGAGAGAGAGAGAGAGAGAGAGAGAGAGAGAGAGAGAGAGATGCGATTGAGAATCCTTGAGAGTTCTTGCTTCGCCCGGACCAAGAGAGAGAGATAAAGGAGGAATAAGAAGTTACAATCATGACATGATACTTTTTTGCAAATCATTTCGAAAATGTTAATAATCTATCTTATGCATACAGCATACAAATCATCCAGCCATCAAATCGAAAATGCCCATCATTCCATATGAAAAGAAGAAAGCCAAATAAATGAATAATAATAAAAAAAAAAAAAAAAATCACCAAAAACGCCCCAGAAAATCCCGAGTTGGCAACCTCTTGAGCGGATCAATCTTCGCGGTAAAGAACTTCAACCAAAACGTCTTTTTTCCTCCATATTTATTCGCCTCTGAGATTATTCGAAGGTGAGAATGCCCTTGGAATATCCTTGTATTCACATTTATCAATTAACATGTCGGAATTAATGAAGGATGTTGATGATACGACGTGATATTGCCACGAAAGGGAGGCAATTGATCTCTCGGATTGCAGTTCGGGTTGATTGATCGGTCATTATCGTTGCATTAATTTAAGGACACGGCGATGCAGGTGATTAGGGGTAGAGGAATTAGAGGGATTGTTCATGCCTAATAGCTGGAAGGCGGTATTAGAAGTGACAACAGGTATTTACGGAGAATATGAGGAATATCGTCTTCGCCTTCGGTCTTCGGGGGGCAAGATAGAGCTAAAACCTGGCACTTTTCGGCGATTTTTTCCTCTTGTGGTTTTATTGTTCGTGTTTGATGATTATTGCATGTGCCGACTACTGCAGTTTTTAGTGCCTCTGCAAGAGTACCTTCTTCCTCTTATCCGAGCCTAGTGCGTCTTCACGATAAAGATTTAATTTGGAAATTTATTGAAAATCGTTTTTATTCCGTGGTCGGCGCTCCAGAGAAGGCCAACCAACCCTAATATACTCTAAGAAGACGGATTTTGGACCTTTTTATTTACAAATTTTTCTTCTTTACGTAATTTTCACCCACCCTCAATTTTTTATACTTTAATTTTTCTTTTTACCTAATTTTTCTTACTCCAAGAGAGCTAAAACCTTCATCTTGGCATGATACCCTTTGCTGGAACGCCAATAGTTTGCGTGGGTCTGGACCAGAGATGATTTTTACAGAGTCTTGTGTCATTTTAAAGTGCGCTTCGTGGCTATTTAAATGAATTTTCCTGCATCGTCAGCATTATTCCTGACGGTATTCAATATGTTTATAATCCTAATAATGTAATAATCCTAATAATATAATAATCCTAACAATATAATAATCCTAATAATATTATAATCCTAATCCTATTAACCTTGATAATAATGGCACTACTGATAATGACGGCATGATGATTTTAAACGTACTAATGCCAATAGAATAAAACTGATCATTAAAGAACCCAGCTTTTTTTCTAAATAGAGTCAGGATGTGAAGTGTGTCTGTAACGTAATAGCATTTTATAAAGGATACGGGATAAAAAAGAAGTATTTGTTAAGAATAAAAATGTCCTGTTAAAGTGATTAAGGATAGATTTTATTAGATTTTCTAAAAAAAAAAAGATCTTGCTTGCAGTTCAGATACTTATAGTGAGTACTGGATGATTTAATAGGGAACACTAGATAAATTTCCTTGCAGAAAGTTTATTATTATTATTTTTTTAAAGTGCTGACTTTTATTTGTTATTGTAGGTTTGTTAGAGTACTTTTTTTTTTATAGTGTTAGTATTTATGTTTAATGTTTACTTATATTTAAGTTGTTTTTCTCTAACTCTTAAAGTGTATACAGGTTTTTTATAGCCATCATCTGATTAAATAATAACTTTTATTGACTTTTTAGGAAATAACATTTGGAATATATATAAAAGGGACCAATTATACAAATATGCTAATGAACATGTACTTTCGTCTGGCATTTATACTCATTTTGGAAATATAGATAATATTCAAGATATTTCAGTGCCAATAATTTTTTTTTCTTAAAATTTTTCGTTTTACAGAAACACACAAAGATGTTTTGGGCACGAAGACTCATGACATTATGCATTCTGCGCCAAGTGTCGTCATGGAGTCATGAGCCAGCCCATAATGACGCATCTCAACCTGCAAGAATAGGTGAATTGTTGATTTTTAAGTTGTTATATTTATGTTATTAAAGAAAGAAATGTTATTTTTTTATGATTAAGTTATATGTTATTTTATTGAGTTCTCTTAAACTAGTTCAAGATGAGGATAAGAGTATAAGTGAGTAAGAGTTGAAAGGAAGATTAAGATAGAGTAAGACAGGAATGAGAGTAAGAAAGAGTGAGAGTAAGAATGAGAGTGAGAGTGAGAATGATAGAGTGAAACAAAGTTATTTCATAGAGAGTGTAAGAGTAGAAGATAGAATAAAATATGAAAATGCTTCTATGTAAATGCACATGTAGCTTATAAGTTCATTTAAGCTTGGAGCTTTGGTTAGTAAGTTATTTTTATTCACACTAATACATTTCCAGCTGTTATTGGAGGAGGCATTGGAGGAACAGCAACCGCATATTTCCTGCAACAGCATTTCGGAGATGACCTTGTCCTAGATTTGTACGAACATCATACAGTCGGTGGGCGTTTGGCTGTCCTTGATATAGCCGGACACAGTTATGAGGTCGGTGGCAGTGTTATTCATCCAGGGAACCGATACATGGTGGAGTTTGCCGAGAAATTTGGTAAGTAGGTCGTTTTTCCATTTGTTGGTTTTGTTTTTTTTCTCTTTTATGGAAATTATCTGATTTAGAAAATTAATGATGTAATAATATGTAGGGAATTAACGGATTTGTGAGATTACTACACTGAAGAAATTAGGGTTTATTGTGTAGTAATTATATCATGAAATCTTGGGTTTCAATGAAATTGTTACAGTAATATTTTCTTTATACTATTATTAGAATATCAATACAAAGAGACAAGGAATATGTATGTGCTTTATACTTAGCGATGATGAAGCTTTTAAGTACCTGATCCTTAGGAAACTTATAGATTATGTAATAGAATTATCATGATTTTTTGACTTGCAGTAGATAATCTGTGATAATAAAACTCTATTATTCTTTTCAATATCATCAAATAAAAAAAAAATAAAAGGGAAATTCAAAGAAACATATATCTTTTCTTCAAAAGGCCTTCCTAAAAAAGAACATTGCTCTGACAGTCCGTTTGGACTCTTCGACGGGGAGAAGTACATGTTCAGAGGAAGCTCCTGGTCCATTGTGAATATCATGAAATTGTTCTGGAGGTACGGGAGAACCTTGCTCACACTCCGAAGTGAGCTCAAGGAGACACTGACGAAGTTTGATAGGTAAGCATCGATTTTCCTCTCTCCAAAGTGAGCTCAAAGAGACAGTGACGAAGTTTGATAGGTAAGCATCGATTTTCCTCACTCCAAAGTGAGCTCAAAGAGACACTGATGAAGTTTGAGAGGTAAGCATCGATTTTCCTCACTCCAAAGTGAGCTCAAAGAGACACTGATGAAGTTTGATAGGTAAGCATGGATTTCCCTCTCTCCAAAGTGAGCTCAAAGAGACAGTGACGAAGTTTGATAGGTAAGCATCGATTTTCCTCTCTCCAAAGTGAGCTCAAAGAGACACTGATAAAGTTTGAGAGGTAAGCATCGATTTTCCTCACTCCAAAGTGAGCTCAAAGAGACAGTGACGAAGTTTGATAGGTAAGCATCGATTTTCCTCTCTCCAAAGTGAGCTCAAAGAAACAGTGACGAAGTTTGATAGGTAAGCATCGATTTTCCTCACTCCAAAGTGAGCTCAAAGAGACACTGATGAAGTTAGATAAGTAAGCATTGATTTTCCTCACTCCAAAGTGAGCTCAAAGAGACACTGATAAAGTTTGATAGGTAAGCATCGATTTTCCTCACTCCAAAGTGAGCTCAAAGAGACACTGATGAAGTTTGAGAGGTAAGCATCAATTTTCCTCACTCCAAAGTGAGCTCAAAGAGACACTGATGAAGTTTGATAGGTAAGCATCAATTTTCCTCACTCCAAAGTGAGCTCAAAGAGACACTGATGAAGTTAGATAAGTAAGCATCAATTTTCTCCCTCCAAAGTGAGCTCAAAGAGACACTGATGAAGTCTGAGAGGTAAGCATCAATTTTCCTCACTCCAAAGTGAGCTCAAAGAGACACTGATGAAGTTTGAGAGGTAAGCATCGATTTTCCTCACTCCAAAGTGAGCTCAAAGAGACTGATGAAGTTTGATAGGTAAGCATCGATTTTCTCCCTCCAAAGTGAGCTCAAAGAGACTGATGAAGTTTGAGAGGTAAGCATCGATTTTCTCCCTCCAAAGTGAGCTCAAAGAGACTGATGAAGTTTGAGAGGTAAGCATCGATTTTCTCCCTCCAAAGTGAGCTCAAAGAGACTGATGAAGTTTGAGAGGTAAGCATCGATTTTCTCCCTCCAAAGTGAGCTCAAAGAGACTGATGAAGTTTGAGAGGTAAGCATCGATTTTCCTCACTCCAAAGTGAGCTCAAAGAGACACTGATGAAGTTTGAGAGGTAAGCATCGATTTTCCTCACTCCAAAGTGAGCTCAAAGAGACACTGATGAAGTTTGAGAGGTAAGCATCGATTTTCCTCACTCCAAAGTGAGCTCAAAGAGACACTGATGAAGTTTGAGAGGTAAGCATCGATTTGCCTGTGCACCGAGCTGTTTCTTTCAGCTAACAGGTATTACTGTGCAGAGGTTGAAACGAGGTGAGGTTTCTGTAACGCTTCAGCACCGGCAGCAAGCCATGAATTGTTGCTTTAGTTACTTATTCTTTACCTGCTGATGCTAGTTAAGGGTAATTGTGTGTTATGGCTTTTGTTTTGTTCTGTTTTATTTAATTTGATTAATTGATTTATTTATTTACTTATTTATTTATTTGTTTATTTATATATGTTTATTTATTTGTTTATTTATTTATTTATTCATTTTTTTATTTATCTATTTACTTATTTGTTTATTTATTTATTTATTTATGTACTTATTTGTTTATTTATTTATATATTTATTTATTTATTTATTTATTTATTTATTTACTTATTTACATATTTATTTATTTACTTATTTATAGATTTACGTATTTATTCATTTTTTTATTTATTTATTTACTTCTTTATTTGTTTATTTTGTTATTTATTTATTTGTTTATTTATTTATTTATTTGCTTGTTTATTGATTGATTGATTGATCTATATATTTATTTACTTATTTATTTATTTATTTACTTATTTACTCCTTTACTCATTTATTTATTTATTTACTCCTTTATTTATTTATTTATTCATTCATTCATTTATTTATTTATTCATTTATTTATTTATTTGTTTATTTAATTTAATTGATTTTTTTTTTTACACATACATGACTGTACAAGTGCTTTACGACTAAGGAGCTAATTTCTAGGTGTACCTGTCTGACCATTTACCACATTTTTGAATTTTTAAGATTTGTTTTTATTGTTATTATTTATTGTATTGTTACTAATACTATGGTAAAAATGATAGTTGTGATAATATAAATTCAGGTAATTGACTCCTTGGTGGTAAAAAGATGAATGAAATGGAACCAGTTGACACTGCATGTTCTCTGTGACAGTGGGTTAATTTTCTAGCCTGATGTACACAGTGGGGTGCCAAGCTCAGTGTTCTGTTGAATTTTTTTTTCTCGGGTTTAATAGCAGGTTGGCAGGCTTGTGCCAGTGCTTTGTATTTCAGTGTCATTTATTCTTGAGTCTTGACTAGAATTTAATTCACTCTATTACAAACTATTTCATTATTACATTATTTTGGGGGAAATTTTCATTCACTCTAAGGTGAAATTTCTTTCAGTTTTACTCTTGTGAACTGTAAAAGATCCACTGTAAAGGCAGATGCATTGCTTTGTTTGTTGACTGTCACAGACACTCCAAATATGTTAAGCATAGGGCTGTAAAAAGTTGCTTAACATTTATTTCAGACTTATTTCCGCTTCATTTTTTTGACACTGATATTTATGTGCACTTATCTTTATTTTCGCATTTGTGGAGGTGCTGTCATGACTTTTGTGAGAGGTTTATCAGTATAGATGCTCATTCAAAAGGGAAGTGCCATGGTCTATATATCATGTATTCCAAATAATCTTAACTCATCGAGGCAGACTAGTAAATAGTGGGGTCCTCCTCCTTATGGGTTTAGTTTTTATAACTTTGAAATCCCTGAAATTGTTAGAGATAGTATTCTTCAACTTTCTTCTTGTAGAAGTTAGATTTAATACTGTAAAATGGATAAAGAGATACAAGAAAATCTGCATTTTTTCTTACTATTTTTTAAAAGCATTTGAACTCAAGGGAACAGTAGCAAAAAAAATACCCTGTTGTGGTTGTCAACTTGTTTCTTTACCATTTTTTCTTCCCCAACAGGATCTACCATCTCCAGGCTGAAGGCCAAGCGTTTTCCAGTGTAAGCGATTTACTTCATGCTCTAGACCCAAGTTTCGTCGAGATGACACGTGTTTCAGTGCGTGATTGGTTTAAAAAGCTAGGCATCCAAGACCTCGTTATAGATGAGTTAGTGACAGCAGTAACAAATTGCAACTATGGACAGACTGCAGACATGCATGCCTTTGTTGGTAGGTGTTTTGGGGTATTTTGACATGTTTACAGATTTCTTATTTACAAGAGTAATCTGTTTTCAAAACTCTTGATGAAGTGAATGCTAATAGGCATGAGTAAAATTTAATGTCCTCATGCTGTTTCTTGTAAGTGTGAGTAAATAGAAGAGGAAAAAAGATATATTTCTTTGTAACTGAGTTCTCATGAATGTTGAATTTAATGCCTATATATTAGGGGATAACTGCACAATTTTTTCTTAACAAGCTTTTGATATTTGACTTGTTTTATAAATCATAAAGAACTGTTAGTGAAAATCCTGTAGCATGTCATAGATATCAAAATAGAATTATGGAAGACTGACATAATTGCTCTGATTGATTTGTGGGATTCTTACTGCTATAGAAAAATAAAAGGCCAGGGGATATGTGTAGAGCTGGTCTGAGATATGTATGTCTGATTTTCTTTTTGTTTCTCTCTCTTTAAGGAGCAATAGCTGTAGCTGGAGCAGACCCTGATCTTTGGGCTGTAACTGGAGGTAACAAGCGTGTGCCAGAGGAACTTCTGAAGCACTCTCGCGCCACATTGCTCAGGCGTAAAGTGGAGGAAATTGGGCTGAATGAAGGAGGTGGTTTCGTAGTGAGTGTTATGCAAAATATTATTTCATTGTATTGATCACTAATGTCAAATGTGTTTGAATTAAGATTTAAGATGTGATATTGTTATGTAATGCTTAGAAATATACTTACATTACATATATCATTCACAGGTAACGTCAGTGGAAGCAGAAACGTCAGAAAATGGTGAAACACACTCACTGAACAACAATGTGGATGACACAGAAAAGGATCTGCGACCTCAAAACTATGACCTTGTTGTGGTTGCTGCACCTTTGACAAAGGACAAAACCAGTATTAAGTTTGTTAATTTTACAAAGGATTTCACATTTCCAGGCCATTATCAGAAGATATTTTGTACGATGGTTCATGGTAAATTGCGTCCAGAGAGTGTAAAACTAACAGAAGGAGATTCAATTGATGAAGTTCTGATAACAAATACATCGCTTTTTTTCAACTCCTTAGGCAAGCAGTCGCCAACCGAAGTAAAATGCACAGAGCAGTATCCAGATGTCTGGAAAATCTTTTCAGGGAGCTCTCTTCGGGGAGAACATCTCAACGCCTTTTTTAAGGAGATAGAATCATTCCATGAGGTTGAGTGGCTGGCATACCCTCATTACGAACTGGACCAACAGCTCGGTGACTTTGAGTTGCATCCAGGCCTCTACCATTTAAATGCTATAGAGTGGGCGGGAAGTGCTATGGAAATGAGCAGCATTGGTGCTAAAAACGTGGCATTGCTAGCGCTCAAACACTGGCTGCAGGATCCATCAGCGGGAAAAATGGCGGTACTGAGGGATGAACTGTAATTAAAGTAGTCGAGATAGAAGTAAAATGGAATAGAATTAAGAGATGATAAAGAGATTGTAGGGTTAAACCAAATTTATTTATGGCTGTGATAGTAGTGCCTGGTATTTATAAGAAAAATTAAGTTTATTATATATGCTGCATTTCTTCTTATATATGCTGCATTTCTTCTTCTTTTTTTTAGAGTATTTCTTGTTGCATTTGTGATGAAATGAAACATTGCATTCCAAGGTTTATAATGTTTGAAAATTAAACTAATAGTTGAGATATTCAAATTTCAGGTCACACACACACACAAAAAAATATTCTTTTTGATGATTCTTGTAAGACCCTCTAATTTTTTTTTCAGCTACATCATGTAAAAAGCAATAAAGCTGAAGTACCAGGTCTCTAAATCTTGCCTTTTATTTGTACATGTCACCAGTACTGTAGCATTGGGGTGTTTAGGTTACAGACACGGTGTAGGCAATGTACTGGGAGAGTAGAACTATATTATCATCATTCTGTCTCTCCCTCCTTTCCACTCTCCATTTCTTTCCCACCCATTCTCATTCTCCTTCTTCTCCTACTTGTCCTTGTCCTTCTTCCCCCACTCTCTCTCTCTCTCTCTCTCTCTCTCTCTCTCTCTCTCTCTCTCTCTCTCTCTCTCTCTCTCTCTCTCTCTCTCTCTCTCTCTCTCTCTCTCTCTCTCTCTTCTCTTCTCTGTCTGTCTGTCTCTCTCTCTCTCCTCTCTCTCTCTCTCTCTCTCTCTCTCTCTCTCTCTCTCTCTCTCTCTCTCTCTCTCTCTCTCTCTCTCTCTCTCTCTCTCTCTCTCTCTCTCTCTCTCTCTCTCTCTCTCTCTCTCTCTCTCTCTCTCTCTCTCTCTCTCTCTCTCTCTCTCTCTCTCTCTCTCTCTCTCTCTCTCTCTCTCTCTCTCTGTCTCTCTCTGTCTCTGTCTCTCTCTCCATCTCTCTCTGTCTCTCTCTCCATCTCTCTCTGTCACTCTCTCCATCTCTCTCTGTCACTCTCTCCATCTCTCTCTGTCTCTCTCTCTCTATATCTCTCTCTCTCACTCTATCCATCTCTCTCTCTCTCTCTCTCTCTCTCTCTCTCTCTCTCTCTCTCTCTCTCTCTCTCTCTCTCTCTCTCTCTCTCTCTCTCTCTCTCTCTCTCTCTCTGTCTGTCTGTCTCTGTCTATCTCTGTCTGTCTGTCTGTCTCACTCACTCACTCACTCACTCACTCACTCACTCACTCACTCACTCACTCACTCACTCACTCACTCACTCACTCACTCACTCACTCACTCACTCACTCACTCTCACTCTCACTCTTCCATTCCCTCTCTCTGTCTCTCTCTCTCACACTCTCTCTCCCTCTCCCTTCCCCCTTCTCCCTTCTTGCTCGTCCATTTAGCTCAAATAAATGAGTTATCAGCATCAGGATGTTCAGAATAATTAGAAATACTCATGTCGTATTGCCGTTAAAAAGTTATCGTCTTTTTGTTTATGAAATATGTTACTTAGACAATATATAACCATCATTGAGAGAGAGAGAGAGAGAGAGAGAGAGAGAGAGAGAGAGAGAGAGAGAGAGAGAAAACACACACACACACACACACACACACACACACACACACACACACACACACACACACACACACACACACACACACACACACACACACACACACACACACTCGCATTGCACTCATGTAAGGATTTGCAAATATTGGGTTAGTCTTACGTAGATATGTTAGTGGTGCCCGACTGTTGCTTTGTAGTTCAGTCCGTGTGTGGTCAAATGGCATGAGAATTCACCCTATACAAAACAATCCACTGCTTTGTGGCAGTTTTTAGATGAAAAAGGCTTCGGAAGGCAACACAGGAAAAATCCAGAGCTGGAGACCCAGAGGCAGTCCGGTGTCGCATGCGACGTCGTTCTGGCAACTCCTGCGATACCACTTTTGCCAAACGCATCGGTCTTTCCTTTAGATCCATTTGCTTCGTGGAGAGAGGGAGCCTGCTGCATAGGCAACAGCTTGCTCCTCCCATTCTTTCGCCCAGGCATCGACTCGACCTTCTTTCTGTGGAGCTGAGCTGTCTCACACCGCTGGGGAGGACACTCCAGCGACACTTCACAGTGTCGACACAACGCGGAGAGTGGCAGTTACCAGATATAAGCTACAATGCTCAATTGGCGCAAAAACGTAGCGCGAGACATTCTTTCACCCAGGCAGAACCGAGTCAGTAATGCCAAAGTCGACATTGACTGAAGGTAGCCGTCGATATATATACATACATACATATATATATATATATATATATATATATATATATATATATATATATATATATATATGTATATATATATATATGTATATATATATATCTATATATATCTATATATATATCTATATATCTATCTATATATCTATACATATATATATATATATATATATATATATATATATATATATATATATATATATATATATATATATATATATATATATATATATATATATATATATATATATATATATATATATATATATATGTATATATATCATATATATATTTGTATATGTACATATACATTATTATGAAATATATCATTTATATATTTGTATATATACGTATACATTATTATGTAGTGTATATATATATATATATATATATATATATATATATATATATATATATATATATATATATATACATACATATATACACATACTCTTTTCTTGCAAATATTTGGATAATGGTGGCTGACTGCTGCCTTGTAATTCAGTCCTGTGCGTTCTTATCTAGCAGTCTTGCTGATTTGCTTTCAAATCCCGCGTCGTCAGTGGATGCTAACCCCGGACATTCCTTGCACACAGGGGGCAATTTAGAAGCAAACAGACAGCCTGTCACACCAAACATGATAGTAACCATTGTAGCAAATGGTATTAACTACGTAATTAAGTACGTGAGGCAGTTCTGGCAACTCCTGCGACGCCGCTGGTGCCAAACCGTATCGGTCTTTGCTGTTCCTTTGGATCCATCAGCTGCGTGGAGAGAGGGAGCCTGCTGCATGGGCAACAGCTTGCTCCTCACATTAGGTAGAGACAATAATGCCATAAACGACATTGATTGAAGGTGGCCGTCGACAAACACACACACACACACACACACACACACACACACACACACACACACACACACACACACACACACACACACACACACACACACACACATATATACACACCCGATCCCTTGCTCGTTGCTTTCGTGGGAGTGGGGTTGCACGCCTCAACTAATCTTGTAAGGTCTCTTCTTCTCCCCCTCTTTTTTTCCTTTTCTTCTTCATCACCTTCTGCTCATTAGTGCTATAAGTCCTTTGATGTCTAGCACATTTGTTTGTTTTGGTCACTAACCACCATCATCATCATCACAATCACCATCATCCTCGTCCTCTTCATCACCTCCGCCAACATCATAATCATCCTCATCACCATCATCATCCTCGTCCTTATCCTGAGCATCATCAACCACCATAAATATAATCACCATCATCCTCACCATCATCACCATCACGAACATCATCTTCATTATCATCATCCTCATCACCACCATCATCATCATAATCACCCTCGTCATCACCATCATCCTCACCATCACACGCACACGCACGTACAAACACATACACGGACCACTCACACACATTGCCAATAACGTGAAAATGTTTTCAATATCAGCAATCATTCATAATCACTTACTCTTGACACCGATTTTTGGCCAGCCATTAATTACATATCAGGAAAAAAAAAAAAACTGGAAATTAATACCACTGACTGTAACAACGTAATCGAATATGCCACATATAAGCTGGAAATGAAACACAGAACATTATCACCGATGATAAAGCTATAATGTATCCCAGTGACGGATATAACACAGGTTTTATTGCAATTGCATTCAGTATGCCTAATTCCATTTCCATTATCTAAATAAATGGCTTTGATTACTCTGTTTAACATATCGATTGTTTTTATGTTATTAGTTCAATCTTTCGCGTCAAATGTTCTCGAAATAGACTGTAAAACTAAATGACACGCTCGGGAAAGCGACTGGTGACACGCAGAAAATTCTATATTAGTTTTTACATTACTCTTTTTATCATTTCTTATATATATTTTTTTTATTTCTTATATCTTACTTTTTATATTAATGTTTATGAGTTTATATTACATTCTTTAAAACTTGCTTTTTATCATATATTTTTTTTTATTACTTTTTCATTTTACTCTTTATATTATTTTTCTAATGAACTTTTTTTTTATATTAATGTTCACCGAATATCTTTCCTGTTTTTTCATGTTAAACAATGACTCGATGTTATTGAGATGAAATATTACGTGAGTGAGAATAGTATGTTAATGAAGGAAATTGATGATAAGTATTGTAAAATTCGTGACAATAGTCCCTCTAATGATTAAGATAATGTAATAAGATTTTTAAAATGATTCAACTATTTAAAGCAATTAAAATAATTAAAGTGACTGCACAACGTTTACGAAGAGGGAATAATATTTTTTAAAATGTCGAGGCATATTAACAACTTTCATAAGCGAAATATATCAAGACTTTTTTTTCTCTTATCATTGAAAGTGATAACTTGAATAAAAAGTAAACATAGTAATAAGGATGATAATGATCAAATTATTTTTTTTATGATAACGGAATTCTGATGATGATGATAACAATGAAAGTTAAATATAAAGATAAATACTAAAATGATAATAATGGTACCGGTGTTGAATGATAAAAAAAGCAAGTTAAGAACTAGGGTTTTAATATAATATTCTAATTGCAATATTAATAACAACTATGCTTTACAGTGATTATAAAAAAAGATAAACAGTAGAAATAACAGGTCCCATATAATTTTGATAATATTAATTATACTGATGATGATTAAGTAATTATAAAGATGATAATGGTAATGATAATGATGATGAGGATGATGATAACAATAGAGATGATAGTAACAATAATAATAATGATAGTAATGACGATAACAATAATGATAACAATAATAATGATAATAATAGGATAATAATAATGATAACGAAGCAACACCACCACCACTAACAACAGTAATAATAATAACAATAATAATGATGATAATAATGAGGATGAAGATGATGATGATGATGGTGATGATGCTGATGATAATAGTAACAATAATATTAATAATGATAGTGACGATAACAATAATAATGATGATGGTGATGATAATGGTAATAAAATCAATTCATAATGATAGCCTATTAATCTCTTTTCTTCTAAATCCGATATTAACTGAAGCTCACTCGAAACACTAAAAAATCTTTCTCCTTCTGTTTAAACTCGTAGATAAAAACGATGTTTCTGGTAAAGTTGAATTAAAAAGAAAGTGCTGTATCATATGAAAAGATACCGCCTGTGAGTTATATTTAAGTGTATATCTCTCTATCTTTCTTTCTTTCTCTCGTTCTCCCTTTCTCTTTCTCTCTTTTCCTCTTCCTCTCTCTACATAAATAAAAAAAAATGATAATGATGATGATGACGAGGTAATGATATTGTAATAATAACCCAAAATAATGAGTTTATTAGCAACGATAATGATAATACCGGTAATAATATATATACAAACATATATGTATATATATATTTATATATATATTATAATTTATCATCCTTATTTTTTTTTTTTTTTGGCGGGGGGGGGGGGGGGCAGGGGGATCGATTACTTTATCCTTTCAGTCTCCAATAGAATTCTACTTTCCCTTTTGCCTCGGACGCCCGCACAACCACGCTGCATCTGGCAACCGGCCGGGCGTTTATAAATCAAAGTTCAATCAGACTGAACGACTTGATGGCGACACGCGGTAAACAGGTGGAAATTAAACCCCTTTTTTCGCCATTTCAATCAGGATTCGCCGCGATTGCCTCCTGACTCGGAACCGCTTCAGATTGGATGGTCAAAATCTGCAGCAACGGCCTTTTTAGTATGATTTTTTTGTCATTATTTGTTATATTATATATGCCTTTATACACACACATATATACACACATACATGCATAAATACATACATACATACATATGTATATATAAACATCTATTATCAATACATAGTTTTTTATTATGGTTCTTATTATCATAAACATTATCATCATTATAACTATTGTGATTTAATGAAGCTTTGAGGGAGGCCAATATCCTACAATGGACTGATAGGCTGAGGATAATTATGACCTAATCATCATTATCATTTTCATTATCATTATTGTCATTATAATCGTTATCATCATCATTGCTCCTGCCATCATCACCATCAATGTCTCTTTGTAAAGATATCAGCTTGTGACTAAAAAGTATGGCCTTTTATGATTTTTGTTCTCATCAGTGTTATTATTATTGTTATTGTCATCATTATCTTTATCATTACTATCATTATCATTATTATCATTATCATTTTTATCATTAAATTATAATTTTTATCATTATCATTATCATCATTATTATCATTTTTATAATCATTACCGGTATCATTATAATTTTTATAATTATTATAATTTTTATAATCATTATAATTTTTATAATCATAATCATTATCATCATCACTATCATTTTTATCATTATCATCATCATCTCTCAAAAAAAAAAAAAAAAAAAATCACATGAATTTCACGAGAATATAGACTCGAGCAACCTCGCGGCGAAGGAGAGCCGGAATCGCCTCTCCACAGGTTCCAATTCCATCCGCTTCGTCCCCAACCCGCTTATAGCTCTCCTCGGCGCATTTCTTTTCCCTTCAAGTTGACTTACCGACTGAATAGAAAGATAAAAATCGGAATTCTCTGCAGTTGGCCGGCGCTTGCATGCAATTGAAAGCATATTCACAATCCTGTTTTGATTTGGGCGTGATCACGGAGCCAGTGGACGGTAAAAGGGAGCGGCCGCGAATCACACTCTGCCCTGGTTTCATGTCGCCTGCGTTCGAAGTTCGAAATCCGGACGGAGGAAAGGCTGTTGCCCGGTTAGGCGCTGCTGTTGGTTTGCGCTTCGTTATTACTATTGTTGTGGTTATTATGATCATTATTATTCTTGTATCAGCATTATTTTTATGATGTGTGTGTGTGTATAAACGGCACACATAGCATTCGTAGTTAGAACTATGAGCAAAGAAAAAAATTGTGTGTGTGTGTGTATCTGTATATATATATATATATATATATATATATATATATATATATATATATATATATATATATGTATATGTGTGTATACTTATATGTGTTCATGTGTGTCTGTGTATGTGTTTGCATTTATGTGTTCATGAGTGTGTGTATGTATATCTATATGTGTTCATGTGTGTGTGTGTGTTTGTGTTTATGTATATTTATATGTGTTCATGTATGTGTGTGTGTAAGTGAGTGAGGAGTGAGTGAGTGAGTGAGTGAGTGAGTGTGTGTGTGTGTGTGTGTGTGTGTGTGTGTGTGTGTGTGTGTGTGTGTGTGTGTGTGTGTGTGTGTGTGTGTGTGTGTCTAAGGAACCACGAGCATATAAAATTTTCCAAAACAAAAAAAATACTCGTAGGACACAGAGTAAAGACGATGACAGGGATGATACGTATAAGAATAAAGACATTAACAATTTTCAGGGATCATATATATAAGCCCCACCCCAGAAAACTATAGGTTGAGAGTTATTGAGTTAGTGTTATTGACAAAATATATTTGATCAGCTTTATTGATGAAATAAAGGATAAATGACTTTCGAGTATAGTTAACTCTATTTATCTGTTTCATTTTACACGAAACACGAGCAGCATATCCAGTTGCCATATTGATGATGTTATTTGAAATTTCATTCAGAATATGAGCTAGTAGAATATATATATATATATATATATATATATATATATATATATATATATATATATATATGTATGTATGTATAGTTAAATACGTATGTACATATATGCATATATATATATATATATATATATATATATATATATATATATATATATATATATATATATATATATATATATATGCATATATATATATATATATATATATATATATATATATATATATATATATATATATAAAATATATATATGTATAGTTAGTTACATACGTATGTACATATATACATATACAGTATATAGTATAGTTATGCATGCATGATATATTTATATATATATATACATATGTATATATATATATATATATATATATATATACACACACATATGTATATATATGTATATGTTTATATATATGTATATATATATATATATATGTATATATACATATGTATATATATGTATATATATATATATATATATATATATATATATATATATATATATATATATATATACATATATATATATATATATATATATATATATATATATATATATATATATATATATATATATATATATATATATATATATACATATACACACACACATATGTATATATATGTATATGTGTATATATATGTATATATGTATATATACATATATATATATATATATATATACATATATATATATATATATATATATATATATATATATATATATATATATATATATATATATATATATATATATATCCATTACCTTATTTTTCTCTTACTTGCAATACCAACAAAAGCGTAAACAGCGAAAATAGCTCCAGTAACATGAAAAGAAAAAGAAACCGATAACATCAGCCATGATATTGTAATAACAATAATTATACAAAATTACCATCAACAATAATGGTTAAGAACATCAGTTTAAAATGTATGGTATATATATATATATATATATATATATATATATATATATATATATATATATATATATATATATATATATGATATATATATTCATCTAATTATGATTCCTTCCTAACTAATATGTGTACAATATATCACATATGTTCTACATCATAAATCACATTATAGTGATTCACAAAATGCACTACTATGTAAGTTCTTCAGGATAATCTATTTCCCTTGGACCTTGCCTTATAGCCCGGGGTGTTGGGGGGAGGGGGGGTTCAGGAAAGCTTGGTGACTTGGGTCTTTGAGGAAAAAAAACGAGAAGAAAAAATATTGCGGTACAAGACGTTCAGGAATATGCCGACCCATGATGTTCAGGAAAATGGGATGACCAAAAAGGCTTTCGGGGAAAATAGTGCTACCTAGGACTTCCAAGAAAATAGGATAACTTAGGATTTTCAGGAAAGTAGGATGACCCCGGACTTTCATGAGGAGGATGTCGTCTAGGGGTTTCAGGTGACCTGGGATGCTGTGGGTAGTGTGACGGCCCTGGGTATAAGGGCCTGCCATCTCGGCCGTGCTGTTCATATGCCTCGTAGGACGCAGACCTGTCATACGCCTCGTAGGATGCAGGCCTGTCATATGCCTCGTAGGACGCAGACCTGTCATATGCCTCGTAGGACGCAGACCTGTCATATGCCTCGTAGGACGCAGACCTGTCATATCCCTCGTAGGACGCAGACCTGTCATATGCCTCATAGGACGCAGGCCTATCATATCCTGCGTCCGAAACAGACCTTCTATATCCCTCTCCAGGTCCTCTCAAATCGCCTCTCGAAGCCATACCATTTTCCTCATAGTCATACCCCGGAGCATACCCCGTCCTAGCATACCCATCATCCATACTTCTTCTTTGATATGGATAATCCTGCC